TTTTAATATTCAGAACACCCATTGTAATAGTGGTTTCCAAACTGTATGGATGTCCTTCTGATGATGGTCTCTAAGGACCGATACATATAAGGGCGGGAAGAATTGAAATAAGAAAAACTTCACCAGTCACACTGGACGGAATTGTTTTATCTTTTATAATGTTGTTAGTGTGACGGGCCAGAATGAAACAAATCAGATTAGTTATACATATTAATATGTGAGATGTCATTTTCTCTTTCCTTCGTATAAGGGTCTTCGTCCCTAGAGTTTACATTTGCTTGTTCTGGTGATTATCAATTTTGTTGCAATATTGTACCTGAAACTGCAGTCTATAGTCAATATTTATGTTTCAAAATTTTTAGTAATCTATAGAAGGTCCTTTTTTACAATATAAGGCTTAAAGAAGATGGAACCTGAAAGATTACGCCAGGTTTTATAAGTGTGCGTAGGGAATTAAACCTGGGTTCAAATGAATAATTTCGGCCATCTTTTGGTGTTGGTAGCCTCCGTAAGAGCGTAATTTCAGAATTTAAGTATTATAACGTTCTAAAATCATGTGAAAATTTGATTCATTATTATTAAATTTATAAATTCATATATTAAATTTAAGCTTCCTGTTGTACTATACACTTCTATATTTAATAATACAAATGCCGTCGTGAATGAAACAATTTATTTGGTTGTAGATCTTTGTCTTTTCTTCCACTACACTACATGTTTCGGCCGTAATTGGCCATCATCAGGTGTATTTTTCACTATGTAGCTGTCACACTGCACACAGTCCAAAATCTAAAACATCAGCCTGTCAGTCTTGTTTTAAAATCTCGCCAACACACGCTCGTCAATTTGATTTTAGAATTACAGTNTTTAAACTGTAATTCTAAAATCAAATTGACGAGCGTGTGTTGGCGAGATTTTAAAACAAGACTGACAGGCTGATGTTTTAGATTTTGGACTGTGTGCAGTGTGACAGCTACGTAGTGAAAAATACACCTGATGCTGACCAATGACGGCCGAAACATGTAGTGTAGAGGAAGAAAAGACAAAGATCTACAACCAAATAAATTGTTGCATTCACGACGGCGTTTGTATTATTACATATAGAATTATAAATTCGTGTTCTATACTTCCTCTTTCCTCTTAACCGCCCATTGCTGCTACTATCTTATCACTCTTAGGCACTGTTCGGACCCTTTCTCTGTCTGTTACCTTTGATAGGGCTTTTCAGGGTTGTAAGTGGGAAGGTTTTCAGCAAATCGGAAGATTTACATAAATCTATATCGCGATGGGGTTAATGGGTTCAGGCTTGTGTAAAGCGAGATGTCTGGGTACTTGTCTGGCCATGTTTTAATTAACACTATTCAAATAGAAAGTTCCTTTCAAAGCTTGAATGTCAAAGTATGATTTTATTGACCAAAGAATTTAACAGACAATAAATGACTGATAAATGTTCAGCCGATTAAGTATTAATCTGTTGGCATCCATATCTGACGCGTTAGTCTTTTCTTTTAATTGCAATATGATCTATCGATTCTTTTTACCTGGAAAACGTGCCTCCAACAAGATCCACTGTGATTACAAACGGAAGTTTTGCAATCGGTCTGATCACTGTCTTCTCTTCTCTTACAGGACCGCTTCTCTACACGTGGTGGAATGAAGGGCCTAAGAAATAAAATCAAATTGATCACCTTGTTGCTCACAGGCGAGCCATAGAAGTGACCTACAGCAAAATGCGTCAGAGAAAGTAAAGGTGACAGAGATGGTTATTAAGATATAGTTGATTAATTCGATTGATTCTCTCTGATTATTATGGTGAAATAAATTCCTTCTTTCTTACTACAGTTCATAAGTACATAATTATCCTATGTCAATAAAGAGTATGTGGATATAGGACCTGTTTAGCATCCAAACCGTGTTTCGAATGCAGGTACTCTCAGATTATTGTAATGAATAGTTCAAAATTTGGTATAATATAAAGCGGCTGAACTAAAATATTATTTAACTTTATTTACGAAAATACGTAATAAATCTTCGATGGTTTTTTATTGCTAGTGGGGTGGGACTAAGTCCCTTGTACTGCGGCCACTTCTGGCCTATTGTACCAGCCCAAGATGATAGGTGAGGATGATTGTGGAGCAATTGGTGGAATGAAGATTGGCAGGGGAAACCGAAGTACTCGGAGAAAACCTGCCCCAGCGCCACTTTGTCCACCACAAATCCCACTTGACCAGATCTGGGATCGAACCCGGGCCGCCGCTGTGGAAAGCCAGCGACTAACCGCTTGAGCTATGGCGCGGCCCATCTTCGAACGTTACAAGCTGATAAACGCGGGTCTCCGCTAAATGGTTTCAGTACCAGTAATTGATGCCACTCAACATTTCAATGCTGTTACATCGCATGAGGTACATCGCAGCAGTATTGAGAAGCATAAACGAAGCACACATCCTTAGTTTCGTCAACTGCAACCTGCCGGTTCGCGCAAGATGGCGGATCACATACTCCACAGTCTTGAAACAAATCAAATATTTAGACATTACTGCATATGAAACTTCTTCACGAACAAATTATTCATTCTCCAATCACCAATTAATCGGCCAAAGGATCACAGGATTTAGGTTTCCCATTTTCTAACGTCGCCCACTCTCCAGAGAAAGATTTCTTAAATGAAATCCTGTCTAAAAGATTATGTGTTTTAATCTGCCTTCCCCCTTAATGGCATTCGATGGATTTCATGTTACTTACTGCTCACTATTCGCGTCATACTACAACAGTCAATAAGTTCGTGGAATGGCCGCAAAGCGTCGTACGGGAATTTACTGCCAATATGTTTCAGCAATGTTTTCGACAGCTATATCAACGTTGGCAGACTTGCATAGCGGCCAACGGCAACTATTTTGAGGGCCGGTGTGGAGCTGCCTAAGTGTATGTGAATACCGTGTAATACGATGCGATAAAACCACATTCCACGAACTTAATGACTCTACCACGTGTATTTACCTACTTACCACTCGGCGCTACAGCCCTGGGGGCCCTGGGTGAGCCTTTGCCTCCTCTACAACCAGTCTCCACAATCAATGCGTGCTGCCTTAGGAATGGACGCACACATAATGACCCGAGGTAGTCATATATTTATTACTAGGCAATTTGAAAACTCTAATTCAAGTATACTAGATGTTGCAGGGTGTCAAATGAGATATTAAGGCACTAAATAGAGCTAATACATAAAAACTACATAACAATTTAAAAGAAACTGATTTATCTGAAAATATTATCTGAACACAAATAAGACGTGGCCATTTTCTCGTTTGTATTCGAAAGATCTCAGTCCGGATAGACTCTTCTGACAGAATTTCTTAGTACTGCTCAGTTTCTCCAAGAAAGTGACGGGGTTAATGCCTCAAATTAGGCCGCGACCATTTCCTTCCACATCGATTTCAGTTCAAAATTCAGTAATCATATCACAGGTCAGGAGATAGGGGCCAGCTCTATCAATTCAGCCGAACTGAGTAGGCTTTCACCTAGAGGTCGGATAGAGTTCAGCCTCCGAAACATTGTTTTAAATAAAGAAACAGGGCCATGGTCAATATCCAATACGTCAATAATTGTGACGAATCATGCCGCTATTCGACATTATCGTCTTGAGCTCCTGGCAGCGTCATTAAATAAACTTTAATAAATGAATATAATGTACAATTGAGCTACCTTCCTCCATTATTCACCGATTTCTTCTCGAAATTGGAAGCGGTTTGAAAACTCGGGTTTCCTCATCGTGTTCCTTGGACCCTTGTCATCAAAGTGTGAATGATAATGTCTGATCACATTCATGATTTATCTCTCGGGGAATAACAAATTCCTGGGGTGCGGGATATTTGGTCCATCCATGATGGTCCTTACTGTCCTTCCTGTTGGTTAGCACTGGACTGTCCTTCTTGAAGAAATAACTGTTCTTGGTCATTTTTCAACAAGTCACACTGGACTTTTTGTGATTTAAGAATAATTTAACGAGTAATATCTTGTGGGATATAACGCCGTGCAGTCGGCTGACTTTCAACGGACTATTATCTCAAAAGATACAACTCTTCGTAACCACGGCTCTCAGTAACTCACATCCTACATACGAATAATTTGTTTCGACTATATGCTCCCTTAAGAAAGCCATGTTTCCTCTACGCTTTCTTTTACTAAATCAAGTAAAGATTTACCTTCAATTTAGAAGAGGGATATGCAGTTGTTATGGTTGGTGGGCCATATCGTCAGCTTAGGAAAGGTTTTCGGGTCACATTTCTTTAACTAACCAACCGACTCCTGCAAGCCAAGTCCTGTTGCTATTTTCTTTCCTACTGTTTTAAATAATGTAATTATCACTTCATTAAAGTAATTAATCGACATTTATTGATACACATTTTAATTTTATATCGGTTTATAAATTTTATATACAACTGCTTTATTACAACCGTCACAACACAACTAATATCAAGATCAGTGCCTAGTTTTGGCTCTGCTACATGTTTCGGCTATTAATAGCCATCATCAGGCAAATACATGGACCACTGAACCGCAGTACTAGTAAAATTGGATACAATATTATTAATTATATAAAGTACTTGAAGTAAAAATACAATAAATTAGATTATATAAAACAAGAATAAAATTATTTGATTCATGTTTTACATCATCGAGTCAGTCGTTGGTTTT